AAAAAAAAAAAAAAAAAAAGTTCTGAACGAGAGACTGCACAACAGTCCTAAGAAACCCTGGTGGCATAGTAGTTAAGAGCTTGGCTGCTAACCAGAAGGTCGGCTGTTCAAATCCACCAGCCAGCCCTGGCAAACCCTATGGGACAGTTCTACTCTGTCTTATAGGGTCGCTATGAGTCGGAATTGACTCCATGGCAACGGGTTTGGTTTCCTGTTTTCAAGTATATCCACGGAGCCCTGGTGGTGCAATGGTTAAGAGGTCGGCTGCTAACTAAAAGGTAGACGGTTGGAATCCACCAGCCGCTCCTTGGAAACCCCGAGGGGCAGCTCTTCTCTGTGCCATAGGATCACTGTGAGTCGTAATTAACTCACTGCAACGTTTTTTGGGCTTTTTGTTTGCTTGCTTTTTAAGTACATCCACAAGTACAGCCCAAACAAAACTCCTGACTAGATTAAGGGCATAAATGATTTATAAAATTAAGAACAGTTTTCAAACTGTCAGTATAATAAAGATGATGACTACTTTAGACCTATTTTACCACTTATATGTTAAAAGATTTTCATTGTAATTAACAAATAAACAACTGTTTCTTTTAATTCAACATGTCTAAATCCAAGATCTTAATCCATTCATGCCTTAGATTCATTAGATAAATCTTTCGTTATTATAAAGAAGATAAAAAACTAAATTTTACGTGATTTTCTTAGAATTTCCAATAGCAAGTAAGTAATATAATAGCTCATTTGTATGCAAGCATAAGAAGGAAAAGCATAGAAAACAACACCATAGAGATGTACAAATAGCTAAAAGAAAGTAAAACAATATAAAAAAATTAGGTAAAATGTATAGAACCTACATGTGACGTTTTCTTTCTACTGGACTCTTCCTCTGGATGGGAAGTTTGAGTTACAATGACTTTTGCAGAGACAGATTCTAATGATTTCCCATAAAATCGCTGATAAGCCATTTTCTTCTGCTGGTGATTAACATAATGACTGTCTGTAGATTTTTCTGAAATGGAAACACTTAAAATGTAAAAATACATTTCAAAACATTACTATGTATTGATATGTTCTCCTTACTTCTTTATACCATCCCACCCACATATTCTTTTTATTCATTTTAACTCCACAACAGTAATTTAGTCTGATTACCTTTTCTAATGTGGTCAGGCTATAGCATGCTGGCAAAATAATTCCGTATCTTATTTGAGAAACAGAGAGGACAAAAGGTTCTGTTAATGGCCAGCTCGAGAGTACTTGGGCAACATATCTGTCGTTTGGTAGGAGAAGAGGGTGAAGCAGAGAAAGCAGGTGCAGAGTCAAAGCATGTACTCATCTAGAACAGAGGTCAGCCCATAGGTCAAATCCCACCAACCGCCTGTTTTTTGTTTTTTATAATGGCCTAAGAACTAAGAAAGGTTTTCATATTTTTAAATAGTTATATAAGTATCTACATAATTGCTTTCATTTTGCCTCTTGGTTTGCAAAGCCTAAAATATTTACTAGCTGACCCTTAAAGAAAATGTTTGTGGACTCCTGATCTAGAATATTCTGGATATTTGCCTTCCTGAACCTGAAAACCTCTACTTCTGGCCACAGCCAAATGTCCAGGAGCTTGACAGCCAAGGGAAAAAGCTAATGCTAATTATCTTCCACAATGCATAAATTCAGAGCCCTGGGTGGCGCAGGCATCAAGAGCTCGGCTGCTAACCAAAAGGTCGGCAGTGGGAATCCACCAGCTGCTCCCTGGAGACCCTATGGGGCCATTCTACTCTGTCTTATAAGGTCACTAATAAGTCAGAATTGGCTCAACTGTTTGGTTTTGGTTATGCATAAACTCAAGTGACACAGAAAAAATTCTAGTAATTCTACACGTAAGGAATACTCTTTGCAAATATAAAAGCTAAAAATGAGCTGATTTTCTTTTTCTGTATCTATCTATATGTGGCCTCATATCACACTATTTCTAAGTGCACTACCCAGAATCATGGTAGCTTGTTATATAAGCAGGCTGATTAGTAACTACAATTGACATGCTGCCTTTATTATTTCTAGATTCTTCTGGAAAGTTTTACAAGTCTTGAAAATGATGGGACGTGGAGTTGGAGAAAGAAAGATAAAGAATGAACCAGGAAAAAAAGATGCTTTAATTCATTTTTTTAGGACCCAATCTTAACGGTTTCTTGCCCCTCTATAGTTTCACACCCCCCTGTCCGCCATTACTGACTACAGTTATGTGTTGTTTAAAGTCCATGATACAGTCTGTGAAATAGGACGTTATGGGATTTGGACATTGTGCAAACACCATATTACAAACAGGCAGTCCCTGGATCACGAACAAGTTCCATTCCTAAGTCTGTCTTGAAGTTGAATTTGTACGTAAGTTGGCACAGTTAGGTACAGTTCGTATCTAACGTCAGTTAATCAGACATTTGTGTTAGTATATAGTGTACTTTTCTAGCCATAAAAAATAATAAACACTTTCAGATACAACAAAATGTCTTTAACATAATAATACAGTAATAATAATAATAATGTTTTCATGAGTCTCACAAAGTAGTGCCCATTTGTTAACACAAAGCATTGTCTGTACCTCGAAGGTTTAATACGACAGGCTTTACGGGGGTTGGTTCGTAACTACTGATTGTACGTAAGTCTGACATCCGTAACCCGGGAATGACAGAAAGTACAGGACATACATAAGCCAGTAACATAGGCATTTATCATGACTATCAAGACATATTTACTATAGGTTATGTATGTGCAGTACCATTATACGCCTGACAGAGCAATCGTTTTTATACAAGAGGCATGATATACACACGTTGCAGGTGGGAAGCTGTTGTGTTCGTTACATCCGGTTACATCTGCTATGTCCCGTTCTCCCTTTGAGATTTCTGAACTCTGTTACAACCTTACGGGATCACGGACGTATGTGCAGTCGGACGTTGCCTGACGGGCATTAAGCGGTGCATGACTGTATCTGTGGGCACCGTTATGCTAGTCTGTATCAGCAGGCAATTAAGCAGACAACTTAGCAGCAAGAAAAGAGCTGAAATTTCTAGGAAGTCTATGGTTGTATCAGCAGAGTTGACTCGGAGGAATAGAAACAAAAATAAAAAAACTACCTTCGAGTCAATTCTAACTCATGGTGGCCCCGTGTGTTTCAGAGCAGAACCCTGCTCCCTAGGGATTTCATGGCTCTGATGCCTCTGGATGAGTTCGAACCGTCAACCTTTCGGCTAGTAGTTAAGTGCGTAAACGTTTGTGTCACGCAGGGGCTTGTAAGTGGTAAAGATAGTTGATAATGTTAGGAATCTGACAGACTTGGAAGAGCATCTGCTATTTTTGGTGACAATGCCATGTTCATGAACAAATCTCCATTTAATTGCATGCCAGTCAATATAGTGGGAATCATTTAAACAGCATACTTCCTCAAGTGCTGCTTTAATTATAGATGGATCAATCTCATTCAAAAATACAAGTTTTGTTTGTAATATAGTATCTTTCCCCTGTTCATCAAAGAGCGGAAAAGTCATTCCATGTAAACTATAATTTGTCATGATCACAGAGCTTACCATCAAAGTGACACTTGGTCATGTCATAGTCATCGCTAAGGGTCGTGTGAGTACGCAAGCGAAAACGTACAACAGATTTCTTTGGTTTATCTAGTGAAGTAACAACTGGATCATCACTGTAAAAAAGAAAAAAAATACATTATTTTAAATTTTAAGTCCTTCAAATGCAGGTCAACACACAAATTTCAGCCTATAATAATGTAAACATCTTACAACCCCATTTTCTGGTTCTTTGATATGATATGGGTGGTGGACACCAAGTGGTTTTTAGGAGACATAAGAACCACAAATCACTGCCATTCCCATAAGAGTTCCATCAAGATCAACAACTATTTACTAAATATCACATAGCCAAATAATTATACTCAAAGTTCAAACTATATAGATTTTTATGTGTTGTTCTTGCTGTTATTAACTGTCGTCAAGTAGGCCCCTGACTCATGGCGACCCCATGTGGTACAGAGTAAAGCTGCTCATTAGGGTTTTCTTGGCTATAATCTTTATAGAAGCAGTTTGCCAGGCATTTCTTCCACGGAGCCACTGGGTGGGTGTGAGCCATCAACCTTTAGGTTAGCAGCCGATCCCAAACTGCTTCCTCCACTCAGCCTCCAATGTAGTAATGTTTATGTCATACTGATATATTAGATAATACATTCATTAAATATATATAAAGTCATATGATTATATCTAATTTCCTATATTCAGATACAACATGTTACATAGACATTTTAGTGATCATTCATTTCTCAAGCATTTGTTGAGTTTATAGCACTAAATTAGGCACCTCTTTAGAAAAGGCAAATCCTTCAGCGTGTCTCCAAGAAACATATCAATTATAGCAGATGTCATTGGAATAAAACCCAAATTAGACATGTTTTCCGAGGAGATTTCTGAAATACAAATTAAAATGGAAAGAAGTGTGTAACTATCCTATAAGAATTTCGAACATTATTATTTCACAAACATAATTTTACATTAATTTTATTAATGTTTACTAATCTGGCTTTTCCTAATGAAATATTCCTCATACCAAACATTTTAAAGCAAGACAGAGTGTAAAGAGCCGTACAGATGGGTTGCTAGATAGATGGCAGAAGATTTCCAAATTCTTGTATTATTACTCCCTATGTCACAGTTAATAAACAGCAATTGAAGAAAGAAGAATCACCCACATACAGATCTGCTTGAAAATTAAATGATGAAAACAAATACGAAAAAGGGAAAATGAAATTATTTTATATCCACCACAGAATACTCTTCAGGTCTCTATGAATTGCAGTTTCAAAGTTGCTGTATATGCTTACATGGTATACATGATATGGACTAGTTTATTCAGTCTTGCTCATAATTACAGGTGAAGAAAATTCTAACTTTTTGACAGCTAAAATCAGAATTATACCCCTTCCCATTCCTATATTCTGGACGGTGTTGTTGTTTGCTATCAAGTCAATTCTAACTCATTGCAACCCTATAGGACAGCTAGAACTGCCCCATAGGGTTTCCTAGGCTGTGATCTTCACAGGAGCAGGTCACCAGGACTTTTCTTTCACGGAGCCACTAGTGGGTTCCAGTCTCCGATCTTTTGGTTAGCAGCAAAGCGCTTAACCATTGCACCACCAAGGCTCCTATTCTAGACAATACCCTTCTTTCAATGAATACAATATTTACTTGCATTCCTCTTGCATCTACGACATTTCCTCAGGGATCATTTCCCTCTCCCAGAATTATATCCTATAAAGTATCTTTAGTGAGGGCCCAATGGTGGTTAACTCAGTTCTTGTGTATCTGAAAAACCTATATCAATTCCTCATTCTTAAATTGTGCTTTTTCTGGGTAACTGTCCCACAACGACGATTATTCTGTCTCATAACTTAGAAAACAGACATTGCTCCATTACCTTTCCCTTCTATTGTTGTTGAGAAGTCTGTTCTATCTGTTCTGTCTAGTTGATCTTTTGTTCATTTGTACGTAACTGTTTTTTCTCAATTCTTTGAAGAATTTTGTTTTTGATATCCTGCAGTTACACTATGATGTGTCTAGTTGTGTGTGTATGTGTGCGTGTGTGTGTGTGTGTGTGTGTGTGTCCTATTTGAGATTGACCGTAGGGCTTTGTCTGTGTGAGGGCTGGTTTGCTAGAATGTTACTGCAGAGAATATTTGGCAGGTGCCTAGAGGACACCAAAAAATTGGAAAAGTTAATTTTTTGACTCAGAGTCCCTGATGCCATATTATATTATATAAACCCCAGACTCCTGGAAGAGTAAAGCAACCCTATAGTCTCTAATTCTTCTAGGTTTCCTTTCTGCTTCTGTTGAAGGCAGATTTTTTTTTTTCTGCTTCACACTGTTGCTGAGGTAGTTTTGTGCAAGAATCTAAGCTATTCCTCCTCCCTGGTTCGCCTTGTCCCTGTCCCTACACAAGGCAGTTAAAACTGCCTTGGACACAGAGATCAGCAAACACTTCCGGAGAAGTATAGCTTCCGTTTTGACTTAATCCCTACTCTTCCTTGTATTTTCCTTACTTTTTTTTTACTTTGGTTATGCTTTTAAAAGGATTTTTTAAATATATATTGTCCAAAATTTTTACTAAATATCAGCCAAAGTGTTTATTAATTCAAGATGAATTGTATCAGTTTTTTTTTCTGGCTACGTACAGAGCCATTTGCTGAAAGTGGAAGTCAAATATATAGTTTGTTCTTGATTGTCTAATTTAATTGGAATCTACCTGATTACAAGAGACAAATATCCAAACAGAAATAGAGAAAAATAATGGAAATACGAAAATAGAATGTAAGAGACATATGAGACAGAGTTAAACCATTCAATATCCTTGAATTTGATATCCTAGAAGAAGAGTGAGAGAGAATGGGAGAGTTAATGGTCAAGATCTCCCCAAACTGATTAAAAGAATAAACTTAGAGATCCAACAAGCTCAGTAAACTCCAAGCAGTACAAATACAAAGAAAACCACAATTAGGTACTTTAACAAACAACTGTTTAAAACCAAAGATAAAGAGAAAAGAAAACACAGTACCTCCAAAGGATCAACAATAACACAGAGGGCAGAGTCTTTTCTACCGAAATCATGGGAACCAGAAGACAAGGGAACGATGTCTTTAATATGCCGTAAGAAAAAACTGCCAACCTAGAATTCTCTAACCACAAAAATATCCTTCAAAATCTAAGGTGGAATAAAGACATTTTGGGCAAAGGAAAGTTGAGGGAATTCATTGGTAGCAGACACACATCATAAGGAATATTACAGGAAGTTCTTCAGGCTGAAACAAAAATAATCCCAGTGAATTGAGGGAGTTTCAGGAAAGAATGAAGAACACCAGAGAGGGTAACTATGTGGAAAAATATAAAAGAACATTGACCATTTAAACCAACAATAAAAATGGTATGTTTTAGGTTCATAACAATTATAAAAGTAAAATACATTTAAACAATAAGGGAAAAGATAGGAGGGGAGAAAATAGAGGTAAATGTTGTAAGGTTCTTTCAATGTTCAAGAAATGTCAAGAGTTCTAATTTAACGTGGAATAAGAAATTAATAATGACAATGTATTCTCTGTGGTAATCATCATACAAATAATACAAAAATGTGTAATTGAAAGGCTAATAGAGGATATAAAATGAAAATTTGTCTAATGCAAAAGAGGATAACAAAACACAGAACAGAAAAATAAATAGAAAGCATATAGCAATATGGTAAACTTAAACCCAACTTTATTATTTATTACATTAAATGTAAATAAGCTAAACACTTCATTTAAAAGATAAAAATTGTCTGACAATGTGAAAAAATGAGACCCAACTGTATGCTGTTTACAGACATACACTCTAAATATAAAGATAGATAGGTTGGAAGTTAAAAATTGTAAAAAGATGTACCATGTAAAAGTAACCGAAAGAAAAGTTGGATTAATATATTAATATCAGCCAAAGCGGAGTAGTGGTTAAGAGCTTGGCGGCTAACCAAAATATCAGCAGTTCGAATCCACCAGCTGTTCCTTGGAAACCCTGCGGGGCAGTTCTACTCTGTTCTGTAGGGTCACTATGAGTCGGAATGGACTCAATGGCAACTGGTTTGGTTTTTTTTTTTGGCTTATCAGCCAAAGTAGACTTTAAGGTAAGAAGTGTTTCTATATATACCTAATAGGCAAATGCACAGAGACAAAAGTAGATTACTAGTTGCCAGGGGCTGGGGAAGGAGGGAATAAGGAGTTATTACTTAATGGATACTGAGTGTCTGTTTGAAGTGATGAAAAATTCTGGAAATAGTGGTGATGGCTGTAAAACAGGTAAGTATAATTAACTTCACTAACTGTGCACTTAAAAACGGCTAAAATGGTAAATTTTATGTTATATATACTTCACCACAAAAAAATTAAAAAGAAATATTTCTAAAGATAAATACTGATAATGATCTATAATGATAATGACAAATGGCATATTCAACATGAAGATATAAGGCTATATTCGATTGTACCTGGTAACATAGCTTCAAATTATATAAGACAAAATTTATGAAATAAAAGAATAGACAACTCCACAATCATAGTTGAGCATTTAAACACACTTCTCTTAGTAAATGATATGATAAGCTGACAAAAAAAATCAGAAAGAGTACCAAAATATTTGAACAGCACTATGTCACTATGAGGGCCGTGGTGGCACGGTGGCTCTGCTGCTGACCAAAAAGGTCTGCGGTTGGAATCCATCAGCTGTTCCTTGGAAACCCTGTGCAGCAGTTCTACTCTGTCCTATACGGTCGCTAGGAGTCAGAATCGAGTCGACAGCAGTGGGTTTGGTTTTTGGTTTTATCAAGCAACTTAACTTAAATGACCTCTATAGAATACTGCACAGAACATGTACAGAAACTACATACACGTCCAGTGAACGCGGAACATTTATCAAAATGGACACATGGCTATATCAAAAGATTGAAAATATACAGAGTGCTTCTTCCTACCACAGTGGAATTACACTAAAATTGAATGACAGGTAATAGCTAGAAAAGTTCCCAAATATTTGAAAATAAAGCAACAACCTTTTAAATACAAGATTAATATACGACAATCTATTGTGTTTCTATATATAATAATTCATTGAAAAATAATTTTAAAAATATAATTCAAAATAACATCAAAACTACTAAATACCTAGAAATATAACAAAAAATATATGTGATCTCTGCACCAAAGTAGCCCAAGACGCTGCTGAGAGAAATTAAAGAAAACCTAAATAAATGGGAAGATAGACCATATTCATGAATTGGAAGACTCAGTATTGTTAAGATGTCAATTCTCCCTGTGACGTTAACTTGTCAAGACTAGAGTCCCTAGTTATTCAATCAAACACTAACTAGGTGTTGCTATAAATGAATTTTGTAGATATGATTAAAATCTATAATCTATTTACTTTAAGTAAGGAATATTATCATAGATAATCTAGTGGGCCTGATCCGTTTAGTTGAAAGGCCTTAAGAGCAGAACTGAGACTTCCATGAAGAAAAAGAAACTCTGCCTGTGGACTGCAGCTTCCACCTGTGCCGGAGAGTGCTAACAAGCCCTTCCTTGAGGTGTGCCCTATGGATTCCAGAGTTGCCTAGCTGGCACCACAATGCTGTAAACCAATTACTTGCAATATATGTCTTTGTGTGTGTGTGTAAAAATATACACATATATATATACATATAAAACCCACTGCCATCAAGTGAAATCTGACTCATAGCAACTCTATAGGCAAGAGTAGAACTGCCCCATAGGGTTTCCAAGGAGTGGCTGGTGGATTCGAACTGCTGACCTTTTGGTTAACAGCCAAAAACTTAACCACTGAGCCACCAGGGCACATACACACACACATACACACACACACACACACACACAC